GAAACTACAAGAGCAGGAACAGAGGCTAGAATTCGCAATATATAACTAAGTGGGAGACTGTGTTCCCATTCTTTAAATGTGTTCCTAGGGTCACTATGAGTTGTGCTCGACTTGAAAGCAATCAACAACAATAACAACAGCAACAATTAATATGTAGATTGAGCAATTAAAAAGAAGTTGGACTATATGAAGAAAGAATGTGGCATCAGGATGGGATGAAAAACTCATCAACAAGATGTATTATGCAGATGACATAACCATAATGGTTTTAAGTGAGGAGGACTAAAAACTCTTATTGCAGAAGATCAAATGCTATAGCCCTCAATATGGATTTCATCTCAACATCAAGAAGCAGAAATTGTCACCACTGAGCCAGTAGGCAACATCATGTGTTGCAGGAAAAAAATGAAGTTGTAAATTATTTCCTTTTATTTGGGTCCAGTCATCAAAAGTTGCCCTAGAGAAATCTGCTCACGAGGACCTCTCCAAAGTGCTAAAGAGCACCAGTGTCCATTTAATAACTAAGGTGCACCTGATCTTAATCAATTACTTCTTACGCATGTGGAAGTTAGACAATGAGCAAGGCAGGCTGAAGAATTTATGCTTTTGAGCTGTGGGGTATTGGAGAAAACTGACAAAAGAAGCAGCATGTTTGTCTTGGAGAAAGTGTGACCAGGGTGCTCCGTAGAGACATGGATGTTGAAACTTTGTCTCACATAGTATGTTCGCCATGTGGTCATACAGGGCCAGTACTTGAAAAAAGACATCATGCTTGGAAAGGTGGAGAGTCAGCAAGAGAGAAGAGCACCTTCATCCACATGGATTGAAATGGTGACTGTAATAATGGGCTCAAATATATGAGATGATGAGGATGACCCAGGGTGTATAGGGTTCAGCTCTGCTGTTCATTAGTTGCTGTATATGGTAGTTGACTTGTGATACCTAACAACAACAACAACATGGATACAAAGTCCATATTAGTAATTCACTGTACCATAGCTGTATAATGGAAAGTGTCAAATAAGGAACATCTGCCTAATTCAGTGAATCTGTATTTTTTAAATGAGTAATGTGAGGTGATACAGAATCATCATAAAAGAGTAATGGATTTTTTTTAAGAGTAATGAATTTTAATGTAACAGAGCAAAAATGTTGATGTGGTCACAGACTTCTCTGTATTAGTAAATCATTAAGAAACTAGACAGCACTGATGGTATCAGTGAGTAATACTTGTTGAAATTATCTGAATTATCTGAAAAATGCTATTAAAATGCTGTTCTTTTACAGCTAAATATATCTTTAAACCTAGATTCTCTTCATATTTTTCAATTCAAACAACATATTGAAACAGCATGTGTTGTTATTTGTAGTTGCTATTGGGCTGATTCCTTCTCAGAGTGACTTTGTGTACAATAGATTGAAACCTTGTTGAATTCTGCACCATTGGCACAATGTCCACTGTGCTTTGTATAGTGCCTGTAGCTGCTCCATCAGCTCATCTTGAGGGCCTCACTCTCCTTTACTGACCCTCAATTTTTGCTAACCTCATGTTAACTCTGTGAAACTTTTATCACTTGAGGTCCCTATGATTCAGAAACAAGAGGGTAGCATTTTTATATACATAAAAATGTTTATGTATGTGCAGAGACACTGAGTGGGTTCCATCCTTTAACCTTTAGGTTAACAGCCAATATGTTGGGACCAACTCGACAGCAGTATAGGCATATATTTTAACAGCAATATTTTGCTTTTAGTTTCTTTTTTTTTCTTTTAGGTAAGATTCATCTTAGTCTTGAAATTGACATCTTTATTTTTACGTATTCTAGAGGTCCTTGGCAGCAAGGTTGCCTAATACAGTACATTGTTTGATTTCTTTTGTTATGATTTGAGTGAAAGTTCACATTCTTTGACTTCTTGACTGATAATTTCTTGAATGTTGACAGTAAATCCAAGTAATATGAATTTTTTTTACAATTTTCATCTTTATTTATCATGATGTTGCTTATTGGCCAATGTTGCAGTATTAGTCCAGTTGTGTTGCTGGAGAAGAGTATTGAATATACCCTGGACTACTAAGAAAACAAACAGATTCATCTGGAGAGGGTTAAACTGGGATACTCCTGGTAGGAGAGGATTCTGGGGCTTCGTCTGACATACTTTGAACATGTTGCAAGGAGGGCCCAGTCCTTGGATAGGGACATCATGCTTGGGAGGGTGGAGAGACAGCGCAGGAGAGGAAGATCCTATATGAAGTGGCTGGAGTAATTGGGGTCGGTTGCTCAAATACATATATAATTCACACAAACAAAACTCTTTAAGATACATAGTAACTTTAGAGTAGAAGGTGCTCTAAAAATCAAGTTTGTATAACTGCCAATTCATTCTGTCATTTTTTATAAGTATTATTTCATAGTGCACCGGAGTTGTATAATAATTGTATGTTAAGATTGTACTTTTTAATATCTTAAAGCCCAAATCAGGCCCTGTTACTACTCTTTTTATCCTGAGATTAATTCTTATATGCTCATGCATTAATTTTTCCACAACCACTTTCACGCAATCACTTACTCATTTGCCCTCCAGCCAGAACTGACTCATAGCTGACCCCCCCCTCCCCCTGTAGCAGGTTGCCAAGACTTAAAATTGCACAGGAGAAGATTGCCCAGCTATTTCCCATGGAGCCAGTGGTGGATTCAAACTTCTGGAGAAATGTAGGTCTTGGGTTAGCAGCATGACTCCCTATGGACAAGGCCACTAGAGCTGTCTAATATCATCATACTCTAAAATTTAAAATATATACTTGAATAGTAATTTAGTTTTGTATTATATCCAATATATATTCATCCAGAGATACCTCAGAATAAAGGCCTGGTGATTTGCTTCGAAAGACCACATGCATTATACCTCCTAGATTTTTTCCTTGTTCCAGGGATCTTAAAACCTTGTAAGTAGCCATCTAAGGCCTGACAACTGGATAACAGGACAGTCAATAATAATAGGAGAGGAATATGAATTTATCGTCATTGCCTCCAGGAACTACTGATTCTTTTGCCATTGGATGAGAAGAAGTAGATGGTGTTCAACTCATAATTTAGTTTAAAGATTCTGTAGAAGATTCTGACCAAAAAGGGAAAGAAAATCCATAAAGGAATTCCAGCTTCTCATAGCTTACAGACTGTTTACAGTAATAAAAGTTGAGCAAACCCTTGAAAATGTTGCCCTGAAATAATCTTTAAAATTAAAACCTAAAATATTCCTTTAAATAATCTTAAAACCAAACAGTAGTTTAGCTTAATTATTAAAACATGACACATATCTCTCCCCCTTTGGCATTATGCTTTAAAAAAAATTTAAAAAAAAAAAACACCAAAAAACAAAAACACCTGTATGGTACATAAATGATAAGAGGGAAGAGGAGGAAGTGTGAGAATAGTGATTTCTGGAAAATGTAAAAAATGTCATTGAATTGTCATGTATAAATGGTTGAATGGGTGTAGTGATGTTAAATATATTCTCAAGAGCTACAGCAACAACATCCCAATGTAGTGACATTAACTTGGCAATAAGTGAGATTGCTAGTAGTCAAAAGGAGTCACTGTTACTGGCTTGGAATTTGGTTCTTGTATGAGAACAAACATACGTAATTTGTTTACTTATATTTCTGGTTAGCTATAGTTCTTAAAACTTAAATATGCAAAGCATTCTGAATTTCTTTATGAAAATATTTCTTATCGAAACAGCATGTTATTACATTTTTTATTTTAAAGAGTGTTGATTATCAGTCTATAAACAGTTAAAGGTTATAAATGATGTCAGTTTGTAGTATATTCCATGTACATTAAGAGTTGAACAAATATATGATTTCTATTTTTGTTTACAATTAAGGGCAAGAATAAGTATATACATAATGATTTTTAAATGATGTGGAAAACTATATAAAACAGTTTAATTATTTTATTCCAACTGTTTTCATTAAATTAACATTATGGCAATAGTTATAAATTGAGTATAAGACTTGTTTTCAAGTTCAGTACTTAATTTCATTTTTCGGAACTTCTCCATATGTATTTGAATAAAATATGTCTGTCACCCAAAGCTCAAGCTAAAAACAATTTAAAACCCACACAATTAAGAGCAAGCAAATAAAAATGTTATGCAGTGAAAAAAAATTGGGCAAAAATAAAGTAAAAAATCATTTTTTCATTCTATTTTGTATTACTCTACAATATGTACCATCATGTGGTTTATATTCATATTTTAGAAACTAAAACACACAAAATTTGAGATGAATACCAGTCTTTATCGCCAACAAAAACGAAATCTGTTGTACACAGCTGTGTTTAAAAGAATGGTATTGTTTATAATGAAATGTTTTAGATATTCAAAGTGTTTTGGCAGTTTAATAGAAATGTTCTCTTTGAAAAAGTTTACACATTTTTGAAAATAAGTATTGATGTAAAGCAAAGTTTAATTATCCAAACAGATAGTCATTTGTGAGCTTTTGAGTGCGAAGACATTTTTAAAAGCTTCCTTTAACAACCAGGTGTATAAAATTACTCACAGTCTCAATAAGTCATTATGGTAATATGGTAACAAATTGCAATCAACGGAGAAATTGAAAATAAAATAATAAAGCATGTCCGAAAAGAAATTGAGATCCTGACTATGCTGGGGAAGTTAAAAGTACCTTAGAGGGTTTGAAAAATGTGAAAATTTTAAATGCTAGTAATAATAAAAGAAGAACCTACATTTCTTTACAGTGTAGTACCTGTATTTAACGTTCTTATTGTGATATTGATGGATTCAATGCAATTGAGTTCGAATTGCATATACTGTACGATGTTGATATTGAATTTAAGATAAGGATATTTTTGTTTGATTTCCAATCGTTTGCCACAATGGAAATGTGGCAAACCCCTCAGATGTCAAATTGATATTCGATTTTATTTTTCTGTGGGAAAACCAACCTAAAGTAACAATCTTTGTTGCTGTTTGCTCAGATCAGGTGGACCAAAACAGCAGGAAGTGCCTCTGACAGATTCCAAGACTCAAGTGTCTTCAATGAGACTTTGAGGATTACAAATATTCAGCGACACCAAGGAGGCCGCTATTACTGTAAAGCAGAGAATGGCTTGGGATCCCCGGCCATAAAGTCCATCAGAGTGGATGTCTACTGTAAGTAAATTTCTCAGAAAAGTATGTAACTCTGCCATGGATTTCTTGAGCCTACACTTTCAGATTTATTTTCTAGTTGTCAAAGAAAAGTTATAGTTTCTTCTCCACCATAGAGTTTTCTTTAGTTGTTTTATGTATGATAGATTGAAAGCTTATTTAGTTAATTTCTTGAAAAAAAAAGCCTTCTTTGGACATTTTAATTATTTCTATGGTACAGTTATGTATATTATTATAGAACATTTTAGAATCATGTTACATCAACAGCATTACCTGTAATTATGAATGATTCTTTTTTTTATGGTACACTTCCATTAAAAAAACGTCGTCTCTCTCTCTCTCTCTGTCTCTCTGTCTCTCTCTCTCTCTCTCTCTATATATATATATATATGAATTGTTAATTTTGTATTTACAGTAGTGTGTTGCTTTAACTTTCTGTGCGTGTAAGTAGGATTATTAATATTTATTTTAATTGCATAATGTTGGATCTGTTGGGACTGGCTTGTGAATGACAGAAATATCTGTGTAGTGTCGGCTACTGATTCACTTGGACAGAAAGAATTCAGAACCAATCTTAGGCAATACTATGCTTCTTGTAAAGTACTTGTTGATTTATTACTGCTCTTAATTTCAATTTCTCACTTTTTATTCTTGTCTAAAACTCTTCCCTCTGCTTTTATAACTGAATTCTGTTATTTTAAAACAAAATACATGCCTACATCAATTTGCATATTGATCTATCAGTCTTTCAATCTTTTTTTAAAAAATTATCTTTTCTTTTTAAATTCTCCCTTTAAACAACAACTTAGAAGTATTTTAGACATTAGTAATTAAGTGAAGAGCTTCTGTATACTTTGTTGTCTTGTCTTTTTTGTTTTTACTTTCAGTTGTCTTTTCAAGTAAAGAGAGCCTTATGTAGAAGTTCTCCAGGGTTACTTTGAATTGGAATTGAATAGAAAAGAGAGTGACAGGTTACTTTCAATTAAATCCTAAAGTGATGCCAATCATTAAGTACTCATATTGGAACAGAGGTGATCTATTTTAGAAAACTCAGCTGTTGAAAACTTATGGAATGAGACTCTCTGGCCTACCTGAGTGCACTGTCAGCTGAATGGACTAGAAGGCAATTGGCTCTTACTTTTAATTCATGACAAATGTTGCAGAGCTAGGAAGGTATTTGAAATTATTTGTTGTTGTTAGATACTATCAAGATGACTGGCATAGCAACCATGTTAACAGTAGCTTGAAATCTTGCCTGATCCTGTCCAATCCTCAAAATTCTGCTCTGCCTAAACTGATCATTGCAGTCATCATTACAATCTCTCTTGTTGAGAGTTGTCATCTCCTTCTCTGAGCCTCCACCTTTCCAGACATGGGTCTTTTTCAAAGACTAGTCCCTCCTGACAACATACCCAAAGTATGTGAGTGTAGTCTCACCAGCCTTGTCTTTAAGGAGTATGCTGGCTGCACTTCTAAGTTAGATTGGTTCTTCTAGCAGTTCTTGGAATATTCAGTATTCTTCAGCAGTACCCGACAAACTACACCAAACAAATCTCTCTTCTTTCTCTTTCTCTTTCTCTTTCTTGCTGCCATCGAGTCTGAAGTGATGGCTGATCCTCCAGAGTGTTTTTGGAGGCTGTAAATCACACAGAACAAGACTGCATATCTTTCTCCCATGGAATAGCTAGTGAATTCAAACTGTGAGCTTTTGGATTAGCAACATAAATCCTTGCCCACTAGGCCACTAAGAAGAGAGAAAATTGGAGCAAACAGTGAGAGTCTTTCCAGAAAAATATGTAATATGAACTATGGTATAGAAGCCCACGTCTTTGGAAGTTCTACCAGCAGCTCCAAGGGAGAAAAATGGGCACTCTCTTCCCATGTTGATTTAAAGCCTTAGAAGCGAAATGGATAGTCAACTATTAGTAGGTTCTGACCCAGCAGTGATGAGTAATGAGTTTAGCAGTCCATGGTATCATGAGTACTCTTGGCCAACACCACAATTCAAAAGTATACATTTTTCTTTAGTTTTCCTTTATAACTGTCCCAACTCTCACATGCATAGGAAACAATTGAAAACACATCGGCTTTATCAGTCCCTAATGCTATATTGTACTTTTGTCAGCCCCCTGGAAAGTGAGCAAGTATGCTGTGTTTGTGATTTGAATTTTGCGCTCATGTTGCTGTTGTTATATGCCGTTAAATTGGAATCTACTTATAGCTGACCCTCCAGTGAATTTCAGAGGCTGTAAATCACACGTGAGATTTCCCATCGTCCTTCTTCAGATCTGGTGGATTAAAATACTTGGTTTGGCAGAGCAATTCCTTACCACTGCATTGTAAAAAAGTTAGTTTTGTTGAGCACTTTATACCTCCAGGGAAAACCAAGCAGGTAAGCTGAGTACTTTCAACTTCGGTACCACTCCTGCTCCAGGTTTACTGCTGCACACTCTGGCATTAGGTTGTACATGTCACAACAACTGCATAGACTCCGACTCTCCTGCTGACCCCGTGTTTTCCAGTACATACACTATGTTTTGGTATTATTTTTTTCTTTGTGTTTTGTTCTTATTTGTAGTTTACATATTATATCCTCTAGTAAGTAACTTTCTAGGTTATAGATCTATACTTCCTTTGTGATCAATATTCATAAGGCCATGAAGTTTGTGTCTGTCTTCAATGGTTTAAGTAACTCTGGTGGTCTACTCCATAGGGAGTTGACCTCTCTCTGAGGGTTAGAAGCTAACAGCAGCTCCTTCAGAGAAAGGTGGGTAATCTTCTCCCATGCGACTGACAGCCTCTGAAAACCTGCTCAAGGGTCAGGTGTAAGTCATTTCAGACTCCTCAGCTTTGTTCTGAAAATGGAAAGGGTTTGGTTGTTTCTCTTTTTGTTTGGTTGGTTTTGGTGTTTATTTTGTTATTAGTTAAGATTTTTCTGCAAGACCAGTTGTAAGTTAAAGATCACCATTTTTCTTTATGTGCTCTTCTTTGTATGAATAATCTTTTGCTCAAGAAATAATGTCTGATTATATAATGTGGCAACAGCTCATGCAGTGTGCTGCTTCATCCATGGTATGTGTACCATCCACATGAGTTTAAAACTCATGGGAACTACCAATATAGGTATGTGATCTTCATTGCTGCTAATACAATTGAGAGAGAATATAAGATTTGATCTTAGAGACTATAGAATTCATTTCCCCCTCTCTTACTTTTGAGCTTTTCTTCAGGTTCATAGCCTCTGTTTTCTGCTTTGTACTGAGGGGTGTCCAAGTTCAGGCATGCTTCATCATCATGTACAGGCTTCTGGAAACACTGTCAGTGTTCCTTCTAGTTTTCTCAAGCCAAATTAGTCTTTTAAGACTTGATTTCTCTTCCATGCTGCCATGCCTAAAGGTACTAAGTTTAAGTTACCTTCATCTGCTTTTATTTCCCATTGGGAATTCCCCCTGCCGCCAGCCTGAACTTGACAAATGCCTTTTTTTTTTTTTTTAGTTTAACTGAAATGACATTGTGATACATGTCACATAGGGGTGCTATTTTCAGTACTATTTTAGTAGCTAGCTTTTATTAGATATCTGTCAAAAATACTGTTTGAGACAATATCTATGTTAAAGTCTGGACTCTGAATAAATATGGCATTACATTAATTATTTCAACAGTACCTTACAATTGGCTTCATAGTGTAATTTTCTTTTGGAAAATCTTTACATGCCTTTTTAAGCAACTATGTTTATTCTTTATGATTCTGAATAAACAGTTTGGACTGAAGTTTCAAGTATATTTTGACTATAAACTATGTAGTAGATACAAATGGGACTATATAAAGAATCTGCCTATTCTAACCATAGCGCTAATTGAAAATTAGAGTTTTCAGTTTGTAGCATATTTTCTCAAGGTAAATTTTTATAACATAAAACTTGAAATGTCACTGAAAATAAGAAAGTGACTACAATATTAATACTGTGTTTAAATTTGTTGACCTTGACGTCTAAACTTGAAATTATAATGCTTAAGATCATCTAGATGTAACCATTGCATTGAGAATAAAACTACCTGATTGGATAGATATTCATTTATTTTTAACCATATTCAAGTCAGCAATTTTAATTCAAGTACACTTGCTTTAACTATTTTAGGAAATGGTAAAACAATAGGACCATTTTTTTCTGTTTGGAGCAATGATTTTAGGTCTATCAGCTGCACTGCACATTTCTGCTGCTTATTGTGAACTTGTTCCACGTGTGGAAGTTTCATCAGCATTGGTAGAACTTCGAACATGGGATGGATATAGAATATAAAATACAAAACATCTGCAGCAAGACATATTTGCAGCACCAAGCTGAGACAGAGTATGAGTAAGATTTAGCAAAACCCAAAAGAATAACATGAAATTTTAACATTGGACTTGGTTTTTATAGGTTGTCTGTAGAAATCCTTATGGTAAATGCCTCTGGAAAACACCCTACTGTCTTGGGGAGTATTACCAACACAATAATAATACAGTTTTAATAATATAATAGTGGAATTGTATATCTCTTGTTAAATCCTATGTTCTGATCATAAATTTCTATGTATTAGAGCTAAAATCCAGCTAAAATAACATTTAATACCAACTCATTAATTTTAGGGTATTCAGAGTCAGAAAAAAACAAAAACAAATCTTAACATGCTGAGACATAAAGTGAGGTGATTTTTATTTAAAACATATCTTAATATATTTGTGGAACTATTGATAACACTTGGCCAGTTGGGGAATGTTTATTAATCTGCTTTAGCAACTTTTTCTACATGATTTTACAAACATTTCTACAATTAAGAAAAACTAGACAACCACATAGTTTCCGTATTTCCAAAAATTTCCATGGAAGAATCTATATGATGAGTTTTAATCTTAAAACAATAATCAAAGTGCTGCAACATAAGATAGGGAATATAGATAAGTTAGAGAATTAGTCTAACGGATCTAGAATTTGAATAAGAACTTTGAACACAGAAATTAG